TGAGCGCAATCATCATATACACACACTCCAAGTCCAAACGTGCATGCGCAGGTGTGCGTACAAAGACATTCATCATATACACGCAGGTGTGCGCACAGAGACAATCATCATACACTTTAAGTCCAAACTTGTATGCGCAGCTGTGCGCATAGAGACATCCATCATCATATGCACACAGTCCAAGTCCAAATGTGCATGCACAGGTGTGTCCAAATGTGCATGCACAGGTGTGCGCATGGAGACATTCATCATATACATATGCACACAGTCTATGCACAGGTGTGCGCACGGAGACATTCATCATATACACACACTCCAAGAAGACCAAATGTCGCGAGGATATCCGCGACTCCCACATGTCCTTCTGCCCTCTGGTGGTGACCTGTAACGCTGTGTGGGGGCATGACGCCAACGTATTCATCGCCCACATGGCCCGTGCGCTGATGGAGAAGGAGCAATGGAAGGGTCGGGGGTCGGATCATGTGTCTGGCTGGATTCGCTCGCGTTTGTTGACTGCTCTCGTGCGTGCTACTGGCTATTGTTTGCGTGGGGGTGGGAGGGCGTTTGGTGGACTGGGTTGTTATGATGGGGCTCAGATCGATTCCTCCCCTTGGATTGGTGTGTTATCGGGCGTAATGATTCGTGTATGATTCGGACACAAAGATGATTGTTATGGTGAATGAAGGTTGACCTATACACACTCTCCAGGTCGACGCGTGTATGCGCAGGTGTGCGCACAGAGACACCCATCGTACGTACACTCCAAGTCCAAACGTGGATGCGCAGGTGTGCGCACAGGGACATTCATTATGTACACACACTTCAAGTCTAAACATGCGTGCACAGGTGTGCGCAAAGGGACATTCATCAGATGCACATTCATCATATACAGACACTCCTCCAAGTCGACTCGTGCATGCGCAGGTGTGCGCACAGAGACACCCATCAACCATACACACTCCAAGTCCAAATGTGCATGCGCAAGTGTGCGCACCGAAACATTCGGTGTGCGCACAGACACGTTCGTCATATACACCCGCTCTTTCAAGTCGACGCGTGTATGCGCAGGTGTGCTCACCGAGGAGTTCGGTGTGCGCACGGAGACATTCATCATACACGGAGACATTTATCATATACACCCACTCCTCCGAGTCGACGCGTGCATGCGCAGGTGTGCGCACAGAGACACCCATCATACACACACACACTCCAAGTCCAAATGTGCATGCGCAGGTGTGCGCACACAGATATTCCCCATATGGCGTGAATGTTGAAGTTCGCCGTTGCTGTGTGTTTGTCGTTTGTTCCTTGAAATTTGTCGGCTTGCTCTGACGCATTCATGTCCACCAGCAGACTCTGTCTTCACCTTCATTGTGCATACATGTACATCAGCCGCGCGAGGGGGGTGGGTGCTTGGCGGGGGTTTTCGCTAGCCGCAGCCATTATATTTCGTCCATGCATCAATCATGTCATCACAGCGATTCATACATGTCTCTGAGCCGGAGAGAGTGTGCGTGTGTGATGTGTGTATGTGTGTGTGTGCGCGAGAGCATTGGCGGGCAGATAAGACAGGTTGATATTATGATGACATACATCGAAAGGGAGAGACATTGACACTTGGACACTGAAAGCTAATGCGAAACGTCGACGTCAATTAGTCAATGTCTGATGAACAAAGCCATCATGCATTGTTGAACGCATGATCGATGACCGGGCCGTCACCCTATGCATCCACACATGTACACATGCAGGTGGTCACGTGCATCCATGCATCCACCATCAAGAATCTCTGCATGTCTCATGCAGTCGGTGTTCTATATATGCGTGCGATCGATGCATCCAAGAAAGGCAAACATCACACCCACATCATCCATGCATTCGCCTTGTTTCTTGACCGAGCACGTCATACAAAATACATTTATAAACGCCACCCACCTACCTCGCGTCCGTGGTCGAATATGGCGTTGACGAAGGCACTGCATGTGAGACTTGCAAGAATCCATGTGTCATGATGCCGATTGGACGCACAAGGCGGCACCCTCCGTGACATGCTTTGACTGCATGATAGAGAGTCCTGTCATCACCTGACTGAGACACGCATCCGTGATGTGGCATCATTCATTGCGTGTGCAATGATTGATACATGGATGAAAGAAAACGGCGACTGCTTGAGAAGGGCATGTTATCACTAGTAGCGCAACCATGACGAGAACTTTCCTATCGTGTATACGCACAGCATCCATACCTACTTTCTCGAATACATGCCGGCATATTTGTTGTGTATTTGAGCCACGACATATAGGCCACTCATCAGATAAGGCAACAGTGGAGCTGGGACTTTTGCAGGTATATTCGATCAATTGAATGCTCTCACCCTAGTGTTCCCCCTCTCTGATACCAAGTAGGCAGCGGCGGAAGAGACGAGCACTGCATACGCGGATCAGGGTGAATCTATCCATGCTATTTGGACTCTGGAGAAACGGCAGGAACGGCTTCAGCGTCAAGAAACAGCCCACCAGAGGCTGTACATGCAGTGATAGTGTCTGTATGCACCATCCCACTTGGGCCAAGACTGGCCGGTCGGTTGAGTAGGTTGTATCTAGAAAGAGAAAAACGCCTAGCTGCGAGCAACGACAGGTGCGTCTGAGAAAATTCCCCCCCGCCCTGACGTCCAGCCATCGTGACAGCGACCACACAGGCATGCACGGTTCGCATGAGTGGCGACCACTTTGAAACGGAGAC